AGAAATCGCCAGCCAGGCTCCGTGGCTCAGCCTGTAATCCCAGCGCTTTGGGAGGCTGAGCTTAGTGGATTGTCTGAGCCCGCGGGTTCGAGACCCGCCTGGGTAACTTGGGGAGACTTCATCTCCACAATAAATCAAAAATTAGCCGGGCATGGTAGCGCGCACCTGTAGTTCCAGCTACTTGGAAGGCTGAGGCAGAACGATCACCGGAGCCCAGCATGTCGAGGCTGTGGTGGCCGGGAGAGGCCACTGCACTCCAGTCTGGGTGACAGAGTAAGACTCCACTCAAAAAAAAGAGAGAGAGAGAGAGAAATCGCCAAACTGATTTCCACAGGGTTTGAACTAGCTTATATCCTTACCAACAGTGTACAAGCATAACCTATTATTTTGCTGTTTTGTTGCTGTTGTTTTTACTTTTTAATAATAGCCATTCTGACTGGTGTGGAATGGTATCTCATTCTACTTTTGATTTGCATTTCTCTGGTGATTAGTGATGGTGAACATATTTTCATATGTTTGTTGGCCACTTATATATCTCCCTTTGAGAAGTGTCTGTTCATGTCCTTTGCCTACTTTTTAATGGGGTTATTTGTTTTTATTCCTAACTAGTCACTTGAGTTTCTTACAAATTCTAGATATTAGGCCTTTGTCAGATGCATAGCTTGCAAATATTATCTCCCATTCTGTGGGTTTCCTCTTAACTCTCATGATGGTTTCTCTTGCTGTGCCTTTTAGCTTGATAAGGTCCCACCTGAGAAATCTAGTTTTCATTGCATTTGCTTTTGAGGACTTGGTCACAAATTCATTGCCTAAGCCGATATCCAGAAAAGTTTTCCCTGAGTTTTCTTCTAAGATTTTTATAGCTTGAGTTCTTATGTTTAAGTCCTTGATCCATTTTGAGTTAATTTTTGTATATGATGATCATTAGGGGTCCAATTTTATTCTTCTGCATACAGTTAGCAGTTTTCCCAATACTTATTGAATAGAATGTCCTTTCCCCAATGTTTGTTTTTGTCAGCTTTGTCAAAGATGAGTTGATCATAGGTCAGTGGTTTTATTTCCGGATTCCTATCCTGTTCTGTTGGTCTGTGTTCTATTTTTGTACCAGAACCACGCTGTTTTGATTACAGTCTTGTAGCCCTGCAGTACAATTTGAAGTGTGATGGCACCAGCTTTGTTCTTTTTTCCGTGGTGGAACAGTGCCAACCAGTCTTCTCCCCTCCTCCACCCATCCCACCAACCTCAGTGCCACCTCTGCCCCTTCAACAGGTGGACCAGAGGAGGGAAGTCACCTCCACAGTTCCCAGCCAGCACACTGCCTCCGTCCCTGCCACCATGAATCAGGAAAGTAGCAAAGAGACTTGCCATTTCTGTTTTCCCACAAATCCCACAGTTAACTTTCTTTTTGTTTTGTTTTGTTTAACAATAGAGACAAGATCTCACTACATTGCCCAGGCAGGTCTTGAAGTCCTGGACTCAAAGTGATCCTTTGACTTCCCAAAGTGCTAGGATTATAGGCACGAGCCATTTCACTCAGCCTAACTTTTTTTTCATATATGTAAAAGGAGTATACTCCAAAGTAATGATTAAAAGCATGGTATAGTAAATGTATAAACCAGTAACATAGTCATCTGTTGTCATTACCAAGTATTTTATATGGTACATAATTGCATGGGCTATCCCTTTAAGTGTCCATCAGTGGATGAATAGAAGAAGAAAATGGGGTATATAAACACAGTGGAATGCTATTCATCCATTAAAAAGAATGAACTTATTTATTGTGCAGAAAATGAATGGAACTAGAGTCATTATCTTAAATTTTAAAAGCCAGGCACAGAAACTCTAATGCTATATGTTCTCGCTCATAAGCAAGTATTTTTAAAATGTATGCACATGAATGTAGAGTGTGGAATGATGGACAGCAGAGACTCTGAAGGGTGAAGCGTGGGATGCAGGCGGATGATGAGAGATTCGTTAATGGTTATATTATTCAGATGATCGATGCCCTAAAATCCCTGACCTGACTGCTACACAATCCAGGAATTAACAAAATTGCATTTGTACCCCATAAATTTGTACAAATAAGAAAAATCAAACTAGCAGATATGTAGGAAGAACAACTCAAAAGATCTAATGTATAACGTAAGGACAAAGATTAATATAATTATATTGGATTAGAGATTTTTGTAAAATAAGTAGATTTTAGCTGCTCCTGTCACATACACAAAAAGTAACTATGTGAGATGATATGTTAATCTGCTTCCCTCTAGCAGCCATTGTACTATCTACATGTATCTATGTTTCTATACATGTCCCATAACATCAAATATATATAATAAAACTTATTAAATGACAAAATATGGAATTTTTAAAAAGCATGAGAGGCTGGGCACAGTGGCTCACACTTGTAATCCCAGCACTTTGGGAGGCAGAGGCAAGAAGATTGCCTGAACTCAGGGATTCAAGACCAGCTTGGGAAACTTGGCAAGAACTCATATCTACAATAAATAAATAAAAATTAGCCAGGTGTGGTAGCAAGCACCTACTTGGAAGGCTGAAGCAGAAGGATCACCTGAGCCTAGCAGATGGAGGCTAAGACAAATTGTGATTGCGCCACTCACCCTAGCCTTGGTGACATAGTGAGACTCCAACTCAAAAAATAAAAAGTAACTTTGAGAGGCTGAGGCAAGAGTATTGCCTGAGCTCAGGGGTTCGAGACCAGCCTGGGCAACTTGGTGAGACCTCGTCTCTACAATAAATCAAAAAAATTAGCCAGGTGTAGTGGTGAGCACCTGTGGTTCCAGCTGCTTGGAAGACTGAGGCTCAAGGATTGCCTCAATCTAGCAGGTCAAGGCTGTGGTGGCCGTGAGCATGCTACTGCACTCCAACCTGGGCAACAGAATGAGACTCCAACTCAAAAAATTTTTTTTTAATTTAAAAAACAAAAAATAAGAACCCCTGGAAACTTTCTTCTTCAACAGGCCATTCTCATCCTTAAACCTGGGAAGTATTTCTCAAGTTGTTCTTCATTCTTGGATCTCTTTCAGTGAAGTGAGTATCATCCTTCAACAAGCAAGAACTGGCTTTGGACTAGGTAGATGTGCAACTACTGTGACAAAATAAATTATAAATAATAGAATTACCATATTATCCAGTGATTCTATTTCCTGATACATATTCAAAGGAATTGAAATCAGGTGTTCATTGCAGCACCACGATATGGGACTATATAGCCAAGATATGGGAACAACCTAAGTGTCCACAGATGAATGGATCAAGAAGATGTGGTATATAGATAAAATGGAATATTGATTGTTCAGACAGAGAGAGAGAGAGAGAATCCTGCAATAGACAACAGCATGAATGAGCCTGAAGAACATTATGCTAATTGAAATAAGCCAGTCACAGAAGGAAAGACACTGCGTGATCTCACTTACATGTAGAATCTAGAAATAGAAAGCAGAATGGTGGTTGCCAAGGGCTGGAGGAGGGAGAAATGGGGAGTTGCTGTTTGACGGGCATAAAATTCCGGTTATACTATACGGATAAGTCCTAGAGATCTGCTGTACAACATTGTGCCTATAATCAACAATACTGTATCATACTTTTGAGAATTTAAGAGAATTGCCTGGAGTTGTATGTTCATTGCAACACTATCCACAATAGCAAAATCATGGAACCAACCTAAGTGCCCACCAACAATTGACTGGATAAAGAAAATGTGGTATAAATATATCATGGAATACCGCACAGACATAAGAAAGAATGAAATCATGTCCTTTGCAGCACGGAGCTGGAGCTCATCATCCTAAGTGAATTGTCTCAGAAACAGAAAACTAAACACCGCATATTCTCACTCGTATGTGGGAGCTAAGTGGTCACCAAGATGGAAATAGACACTGGGACACCCATAAGGAGGGAGGAAGGGAAGGTCAAGGTTCAAAACTACCCCTTGTTAAGTGATAAGCCCCTTCCAGACATTCCTTTGCTTAGATTGCAGTAGACTCTGAGGCGCCCGTCACTCTCCTGGTGGGCTCTATGTTGGTTCAAATGTGTGGCTCCCATGCCAAAGTTAATTTACGCGCAGTGACTGTGTAAACCTAGCTTATCTGACATTCCACTCTGCCCGTTTAGACGTTTCCCGTCAGTCACAGGCAACTGAGCTAGAGCCCACGCAAACCAAAAAAATAAACCAACCAATCTCAAGCACCCCTGTCCCTTGACATCACCGCGGACTTTATTGGGGACTGATTATGCAAGGTCCGCGGACTCCAGTTTCTACGTCATGACCTCTTCTGATTGGTTAATGTTGCAAGCCTCGGAAAAACCAGCCCCTCCTTCTGTAATTGTGCATAAAAACTGCTTGCCATACGGATCGGGGCTCTCAAGCCCGAGCCGCTGCGACGGTTTCCGGTTTGTGAGCCCAGACTCCAAACTGAATAAAGACCCTCATGTGTTTGCATCGGAGCTGGCTCTTTGTGGTCTCTCGGATTTAAAATC